AGGACGACGCGGCTCGGCAGAGCGGTGCGGCTCAGTGGGCGGCGCGGCTCGGCTGGGCGGCGCGGCTCGGCTGGGCGGCGCGGCTCAGCTCCTGGCAGCGCTGCGCAGCAGGGCGGCGCGGGTGCTTACCAGGGGCGGGTGCAGGCAGGGCCGCAACTGGGGCGGCAGCAGGGCAGGGCCGTAGCGGGCGGCTGCAGGGCAGGGCCGCAATGGGCGGCGAAGGCAGGGCCGCGACAGGGCGGGTGCAGGGCAGAGCCAGCGACGGGTGGCGACAGGCAGGGCCGCAACGGGCCAGCGACGGGCCAGCGACGGGCGGCGACGGGCCAGCGACGGGCGACGACGGGCCGGCGACGGGCGGCAACGAGCCGGGACGGGCTGGGACGACCAACTGGCGGCGGCGAAGGCAGGGCCGCGGGGCAGGGCCGCAGTACGCGGCGAGAGCAGGGCCGCGACGGGCGGCTAAGGGGCCGCGACGGGCGGCGAAGGGGCCGCGACGGCGGCTAAGGGGCCGCGACAGGCTGAAAGGGGGCCGCGACGGGCTCCAAGGGGGGCCGTGACGGGCTCTAAGGGGGGGCGGCGACGGGCTCTAAGGGGGGGCCGCGACGGGCGCTAAGGGGCCGCGACGGCGGCTAAGGGGCCGCGACGGGCGAAACGGGGGGCCGCGACGGGCTCTAAAGGGGGCCGCGACGGGCGTTAAGGGGGCCGCGACGGGCCGGGGACATGCCGGCGAGGGGCGGCACGGGGTCGTAACGCGCGCCTCTTGCAGGACAGAAAAAAAAACGTTCCCACTAGGGAACCTGCTCAGAATACCATGTTAGAATCAGGAACGGAATGAATGAACTAGAAAGCAGGTGGGTACAAGTAGAAAACACAAAAGTGTTGTACCCTCTAAGAACTACCCCACTACAGCCTAAAAGACTATAGCATATATAAGTTTGACAAATACATGTCGTTTTTTGGTGTCACAAAGTGATTGAGATACTTGTGTCCCCACAGGAATGTTCCCTGAGAGTAGCGTGAAAAGGTGAAAGGGTGTTCACTATGAAAAAAGGGAGTACCGTATTACCCCGGATAGAAGCGCACCTGCGCTTATAATAAAGCTGAGTTTTTTAGGGGGGTGCGCTTCTAATTGAGTCATTTTTATAAGCGCGTGCGCTTATATAATGACATATACGAATTTATAAATTGAAGACACCAAATTGTATGTTTCACTCTTGCCATTTCAACCGAATCGAAAATTTTCGCGTCACAATGCAGAATCTCCTGCAAGCGATTCTCTTCCAGCACACAGGGGCCAAGATGCGACACTTTGCAGTCATGCCAGCACATCCTGACTGGACGCGCAGCCAGTCAGGTCTTCGAGAGTCAAACTCAGCGAAAATGAGATTGTACTCGCTTCAAAATTGAAACTCGCTACCGTTTCGAACAGATTTTAAATTAAAATTGTACATGCGCTTATAATAAGTAACGTTTTCACAGGGGGTGCGCTTATAATTGAGGATCGGTCATAAGCGCATTGCTCCAGATAGAAGCGCATGCGCTTATAATAGGCCTGCGCTTCTATCCGGGGTGATACGGTACAAGAGTTTGGAGGGGGAAGGTGGCTAGCTAGGGGGTACACCACCAATATATTGTCAGAATCACAGTCTCGAGACCACTGGGATAAAAGGGCTTGTTTCAGTAGCGGGTCAGTGCGCCCACAACTCCCCCGGACAACATGCCTGTAACCATTCCCTAGGATCGATCGGGGATCACCAGTGGACCTCTGACACCCCCCCGCACTGGGATGCCCGAAGTGCACACACTGGGATTCGAATCCGAGACCTTCGCTCTGATACCATGTCAGAATCCCAGTCACTAGACCACTGGGATAAAAGGGCTTGTTTCAGCAACGGGTCAGTGCGCCCACAACCCCCCAGGACAACATGCCTGTAACCCTTCTCTATGATCAATCGAGGATCACCAGTGGACCTCAGACATATATAGAATTCTACGATGATACTACATTAACTATCTACATGCAGTTATATATAAAAAAATACATTAAAAAAAACGTACACTTTAATTCAAATTGCTCTCTAGTACTTGACAGTTTTGATTATACATCTGAAGTCGTACATACACATGGGTACTTAATAACTAGAACACCCATTATAAGAGTCTACCCCAATTAGACACTGTCTTATATCCGAGCGTTTACGGTAAAGTTTAGGAGCCATGCCCTGCTGTGGTTGTGTCGAAGCTAACCCCAAGACAATCATTACAGGTATCTAAAAATCAATTGGATCGGATCCCACTTGCCGCGGATCCATAATGTGCACTGTACCCATAGTGTTTGCCACAAAGTCAAACCCCTGGGGCTTTGGCCGGCCAAACTCACGCAGATAGTCCATCCTCTTTACAGAGCTCTTCATTGCACCCACCTGCTTCCGGTCGCAGCTTTTAAAATTCGGCCACCGCTGATACACAGCCGAGTCAGTGCCTGTTACACCAAAGTTGTTATTTTCGTAGTCGATAAATAAAAGCTCGTCAACAGGTCTAGACCACCGGATAATCTGTAACCTGTTGACCTTATCTGCTGCAGGGACGGATTCGCAGTTCTTGTATGGGGGTTGACTGTATGGGGGTGGTGGTGGTGGGGGTTTCGATGGTGGGGGAGGAGGTCGCTTGGGTGTTTTGGGATCCAGGGAAAGAACAGCGATGAGGTTTTCAGTGGGTATGCCGCTGCAGTCGCCAGGCTGGCTAGGAGGTGTGGCAACAGTGACATGGGGAGTTATGACAGGCAAGGGGGTCTGTAGCAACCATTTCCTTCTCCTGGCTTGACTGCTGCTGCTGCTACTGCTGTTGTTGCTGTACCTGTGCGTGTGCCTGTGTGTGTGCATGTTACTGTGCCTATTGCTGTGCCTGTTGCTGTGCCTGCTGCTTTGCCTGCTTCTGTGCCTGCTGCTTCTGCTGCTTCGCCTTCTTGTGCTGCCACCACTGCCACTGCTGCTGCCACTGCTGTCAGTTATGCTAAGGCTGGTGCCTTCTCGGCCACCGCCGCTGCTGCTGCTGCTGCTATCACCGCCGCCGTCGCTGCTGCTGCTTTGCTGACGGGAGGCTGTGCCCTCCCATTGCATGGTCCCAGCAGGAGAGTGGGGATGGGAGGAGGTGCGGAAGCTAGAGTGGTGCAGCGGAGAGGCTGCTGCTGCCACAGCCACACCACCATCAAGTGCTTCTTGCTGCTGCTGGTGTTGCTGCTGGTGCTGGTGCTGGTGACGCTGCTGGTGCCGCTGCTGGTGATTTGCGTTCTCATACTGTTGGCCTTGCAGTTGGCCTTGCTGCTCTGGTTGCTGTTGGTGCTGCTGATGGTGGTGCTGGTGGTGATGATACTGGCCTGAGGATGTGCCGCTGCTGCTGCTGCCACTGCTGCTGCTGCCACTGCTGCAGCTGCTGCTGCCACTGCTGGAGGAGGAAGCAGAAGAGGAGCCAGGGAACACCACCTTGGCCGTGCTGATACGAACCATCTTAGAAGGATGCACCAACGGCTGCTCCCTCCCAGGCGAAACCATCCCTCCCTCATAAGAACCTGATCTCTCTGCCAAAACCACCTCTTTTTCCAGCCTCGCTCTTTTAGGCACCTCTTGAGAATCCTCAGAACCTTTTTCCGACTCCGCTCCCTTTTCCATCTGTGCTTGTGCTTCTGCTCTCATGGTGGCTTGGTCCCTTTCTCTGCTTTCCAGCACCGAGATCTCTGAGATGGGTTTATGCTCTATATGTGCCTGGTTGTCATCTGCATAGGGTTGGGTTTTGTGGATGCTGCGGTGGGTTTCGCTGTCGCGGCGGGTTTTGGTGTCGCGGGGGGTTTCGTGGGTAATTTGGTGAGTTTCGGTGGTGGGGGAGGTTTCGGTGGTGGGGTGGGCTTTAGTGGTGCGGTGGGTTTCGGTGGTGTGGTGGGTCAAAGGCTGGCTGGTTTGGGAATGGAAGGCGGTGCGGTGTGGGTATATGAGAGTAGTGGTTGCAAGAGAGGAGATGAAGACCGACGAATGGGAAGGAGCAGGCGGAGGAGGCGGAGGAGGGGGAGGGGGAAGAGGAGAAAGAAGGAAAACAGGAAGAGGAGGAGGCGGAGGGAGGGCAGGTGTTTTGATGCGATGGGTGGTGTTATGATGGAGAGCTGGCTTGAAGGAGAAGATGAAGGAAATGGGGCGGGGGGGAGAAGGGGTGGGAGCAGGACGGGGAGGAGGATGGGGAGAGGGAGGGGCAGGAGGGGCAGGACCGGCAGGAGGAGCAACAACAGGCGGAGTGGGGGTAAGGGAGCACTGCGTGCCGTTGATGTCAGTCTGTTGGCAGATGCTGGACAGCCAGGGGAAGGCCTGATGATGGGTGGTGGGTCGGTGTGGGGATGGGGAGGGGAGGGGAGAAATTGAGTCGCTTTTTAGAATTGACTCAAGCGAAAAGAGGTGAGGGAGCACTGGGTGCCGTTGATGGCAGTCTGTTGGCAGATACTGGACAGCCAGGGGAAGGCCTGACGAGGAATAGAGGAGGGGGCTGGGGGGGGAGGGGGTAAAGGGGGACGAGGTTTGGTGGATGGGGGAGTTGGGAAGAAGATAGAATGAACATGGGAATTCTTGAGGGAGCGATCGTTGTCTCTTGAGACGTCTCAAAAGTTGGGTAGATAGAATGAACACAGGAATGCTGGAGTGGAGACGGTAGGTGTCGCCAGCATGGCGAGTCAAACGTGAAGGGAAACGTCGTCCCTTCAAAAGAGCTATTCATTTTGGAGAGTTCTCAAAGATTTGGGGCCATTTGTTTCCCTGTCTGTCACGTTTCTTCCGAATATCCTGCCGTCACTCAGAGCAGAGAAGGCGGGTGTTCGGTAGTAGGAGCGGCGCATGCCCTCCCTTCCTCCCAGTAACGGCCTACGGGACTGCCACAGTTGAACACTCGCGGGTGCTTTGAGGTGCCTAACGAATCAGGTCTATGTGCTGTAACTTTACAGGTCATGCACGGAATCAACTCACAGCAGTGAAGGCAGGCGTTCGGTAGTAGGAGCGGCGCATGCCCTCCCAGTAGCGCCCGATGGGGCTGCCACAGTTGAACACTTTGGGCTGAGTGCATGAGAGCGTCACTGGCGTGTTGCTGCTGGCCCGCATTATCAGCCACCGAATGTCGTTCCTGGGGGGGTGAGCGGGGAGGGGAGGTGGGGGGTGTTGGTGCGGGGGGAAGAGGGGGGGTTGGTGGAAGTAATGGTTGAAGGGATGGGCTGTGTGCATGCGAGAGTCACTGGCGTGCTGCTGCTGCTGCTGCCCCGCATTATCAGCCACCGAATGTCGTTTCTGGGAGGGAGGGGGAAGGGAGTTGGGAAGGGGAAAGCGTAGAGGGTGTTGAGACGAGGAGAGGGGGAAGGGTGTTGGAAAAGGGCGGAATGAGGGTAGGTAAGGGAAAGGGAAGGGCGGGTGTACGGTGGGTGGGTGGGTGTTTGAGGGCTGAATCATGATAGCGAGTTAAAGAGGAGTGTGCACGAGAGGTTACTCGGTCATACTCGGTCATACTCGGTCATACTCGGTCATACTCGGTCATACTCGGTCATACTTGAGCCATACTCGGTCATACTTGAGCCATACTCGAGCAAGAGGTGTGTGCATGAGAGGTTATTCAGTCATACTCGAGCAAGAGGTGTGTGCATGAGAGGTTATTCAGTCATACTCGAGCAAGAGGTGTGTGCATGAGAGGTTATTCAGTCATACTCGAGCAAGAGGTGTGTGCATGAGAGGTTATTCAGTCATACTCGAGCAAGAGGTGTGTGCATGAGAGGTTATTCAGTCATACTCGAGCAAGAGGTGTGTGCATGAGAGGTTATTCAGTCATACTCGAGCAAGAGGTGTGTGCATGAGAGGTTATTCAGTCATACTCGAGCAAGAGGTGTGTGCATGAGAGGTTATTCAGTCATACTCGAGCAAGAGGTGTGTGCATGAGAGGTTATTCAGTCATACTCGAGCAAGAGGTGTGTGCATGAGAGGTTATTCAGTCATACTCGAGCAAGAGGTGTGTGCATGAGAGGTTATTCAGTCATACTCGAGCAAGAGGTGTGTGCATGAGAGGTTATTCAGTCATACTCGAGCAAGAGGTGTGTGCATGAGAGGTTATTCAGTCATACTCGAGCAAGGTTATTCAGTCATACTCGAGCAAGAGGTGTGTGCATGAGAGGTTATTCAGTCATACTCGAGCCACCCACCCAATGCACAAAGTCCATTGATGGGGTTGGTTAGTTGAGTTGAGTAGTGAGTCGACTCGAACGTTGCAACGCACATCATATATTGGAGGGTTTGGTTGTGGCTGCAAATCTTTGTATTACTCCCACCTCTCACCGCTTCTTCTCATCTCACCCCTTCACATTCCTCCCCCCTCCTTTTCCCTTATCCTCATCACCTCCCCATACACACACCCCCCCCCCCCTCCTCACCTTGGACTCATCAGCTCTCCCTACGCCATCTCACCTTTCTACACCCACCCCCACCCTCCCTTCTAGCGCTTCCCAAATCGCCTTCCCCCCTCCCCTCCCCACCCCTTCCGCCTCACCTCTTGCCATTATCCATAACCACGCCCAGGGGAGTGCGCACACACGCACCGCCCCTCACACGCACGCCCATTGCATGCTCGCCCACCCAGTAGCAGCTCTCTGTGCCAAACACGTAGTTGCACTGCGCACGGTTGCCTGCAGAGAGTGGGTAGTGCAGGAGACAGCATCAGGGGTGAGTGATGGGTGGTTGAGTACGGTGCAAGCAAGATTTCATGCGTTCTTCCCCCTCCGCGCCCTCCCCCACCCAGCAGCAGCTTTCCGTGTCAAACATCTAGTTAAACTGTGCGCGGTTGCATCTTATTTCTCTTTCTGGGTTGATTGAGCCACTCCTGTGGCAGAATGAATACGTTTCTACAGTGGAAATCTGTTTTAAAAGCACACCTGCTTTGAACCACCTCTGCTCCAGAGGGATGGGCCAGCTTAAGGCAAAAAGAACCTGTTCTCAACATGCCTTAATAGAAAAACATACCTGGATTGAGACCCACCTCTGCCTCTCAATATCCCTCACGTGCATACCTGGGTTGAGCCAGCTTGTGGCGAAGTAAATGCCAGTGGAGCTGCCACCATTGCTTTTTGAGTCGACTCAGAATTCACCTCTGCTCCTCACGTGTTTACATGCATACCTGGTTGAGCCAGCTCTGCGTCTTTTCTCTTTGATGTGCATACCTGGGTTGAGCCAGCTTGTGGCAAAGTAAATGCCAGTGGAGCTGCCACCGCTTCTGCTGCCAGCTGCCGACGCAAACACCCTGCGCTCTGCTGCTGCTTCTGCTGCTCTTGCAGCTGCTGTTGTTCTCGTTGTTCCTCCTGTTGCTGCTGCTGCTGCTGCTGCTGTCGTGTCTGCCACTCCTTGCCCCAGTAGTCCCCGTCCTTCCGTTGACGCTGCTCCTGCGTCCCCTGCCTTAGCATTCACACCACCGCCAGTGCTTCCACCAGCATCACTTTCACTTTCAAAAACCAAATCCAATACAGAAGATGCGCTTGCAGCAGCTGTGGCTGTAGCAGGTGTGGCTGTAGCAGGTGTGGCTGTAGCAGCTGCGGCAGTAGCAGGTGTGGCTGTAGCGATTCCAACAACAGCTTGCGGAGTTTCCTGGTGTGCTAGAGCACGAGAGTGTGCATGAGCTAGAGTGTAATAACGATTCTCGTATCTTGAGTGGAAGCTGGGACGATGGAGGGCGAAGTATGGGGCATCTTTGTTGCCAGTGTTAGTTAAAACACTGAATGAACCCTCACCAACACCAACACCAACACCACCATCATAACCATCAGCATAACCACCACCACCATCACCACCATCATCATCATCAGCAGCAGCAGCGGCAGCAGCAGCAGTAGTAGCAGCAGCAGTAGTAGCAGCAGCAGCAGCAGCACTGGAAATTCCTCCACCATCGAAAGCCGAAGCAGCAGCATAGGCAGCCGATGCAGCAAAAGCAGCAGCAGCAGCAACAGAAGCCCCATTCGCAGAACCACCAGGCACGCCTCCCCTCCTTTGAATGGAGTTATAGGATATTGTAGATAGCATGCAATCGCCCTGGCTGTACCCACCCGCACCGCACCGAATCGCAGCAGATCCAAAGGAGTGGATGAGGTTGTTCGTGACTGTGACACCGATCGCCCCCGAGTCGAGAATGATCGGCGTTTCCACACCTGTACAGGAATGAGTGGAGGGGAAGAGCACAGTTTACAGGTGCCTCGAATCTCGCGGCAAGAGCAGCAGGAGTGGATGAGGTTGTTGGTGACTGTCACACTGATCGCCCCCCAGTCGAGAATGATCGGCGTTTCCACACCTGTTAGAAACGAAGGTGGACGGGAAGAGAGGGCGAGAGACCGTTCAAAATGCCAGCCTAAAGGCACCAGAGTCGAGAATAATAGGCGTGTCCATACCTGCAGGGGGTGCGTGGAAGGGAAGAGCAGGGGGTGCGTGGGGACTCAAGCAAAGTTGTCAACCGCGCATCCAAATGACTTTTGAGGCAACTCAAAAGTGTGGTGGTGGGCACTCAAGCAAAGTTGTCAACTGCGCAGCCAAGTGTGGTGGAGGAGGTCAGCAAGTATTGCTAAGCCAGCACAGCACAAGATGCTGCTCTCTTTGAGAATACTCAAAAGTGATTTCGACATGCGGCTCACGCGCTGCTTTCTCGCTGCTCGCTCATTCAGGTCAAGGGCTGGTAGATAGCAGCTGCTCTGCTCTGACCAACTAGTAGTAAGTAATCCAGATGGGAAAGTAAAGCGCGCTTCACTGCGTTGGGATCACTGCGTTTACTCTGGATGATCTGCTGCTGCTGTTGAGTCATGCTTATCAGCCATGTGACTTTCAAGGCGCCTCACATTACGTTGGGATCACAACGGCTTGTTTGTATGGATGGATGAATGGATGGATGGATGGATGGATGGATGGATGGATGGATGGATGGATGGATGGATGGATGGATGGATGGATGGATGGATGGATGGATGGATGGATGGATGGATGGATGGATGGATGGATGGATGGATGGATGGATGGATGGATGGATGGCCTGCTGTTGTTGTTGTCATGTTCAGCATGCCATATGCATCTACTGCCCTTTGAGCAACACACAGAACAGAACCGCCCATTCCTCCCCCCCCCTACACACAGAACCCCCCCTCCCTCCCCACGCACGCACGCCCGCCTGCACAAGCACTCGGGCACACATACACAAACTCTCCCATACATCCCACACACCATAAATCTCGTTATTGGTGATGCTTATATCGGAGCGCAGCAACGTGGGGCCATGGCCAGAGAGCGCCACGTGGACAGCCCCAGCTGACGTGTCAACATCCAGGGATGTGATCAACATGCCATCGATCCGAGCCCCCATCACTCGCAGCATGTCTATCCGCCCGTACACTTGGCCCTGGAAGAACGGGGGAAGAGGGGGTGAGGCGGAGGGGCGGGAAGCGGGGGAGGAGGGGGAAGGGAAAGGGAGAGAAAGGGGGGAAATAGGGAGGGGGAGGAGCCTAGCTTAGATTGGAGCTCTCTGGACAAGTCTATTGATCACTCGCATCACACGCAGCTTGTGTATCTGTGCATCAGCTTGTGTATCTGTGCATCAGCTTGTGTATCTGTGCATCAGCTTGTGTATCTGTGCATCAGCTTGTGTATCTGTGCATCAGCTTGTGTATCTGTGCATCAGCTTGTGTATCTGTGCATCAGCTTGTGTATCTGTGCATCAGCTTGTGTATCTGTGCATCAGCTTGTGTATCTGTGCATCAGCTTGTGTATCTGTGCATCAGCTTGTGTATCTGTGCATCAGCTTGTGTATCTGTGCATCAGCTTGTGTATCTGTGCATCAGCTTGTGTATCTGTGCATCAGCTTGTGTATCTGTGCATCAGCTTGTGTATCTGTGCATCAGCTTGTGTATCTGTGCATCAGCTTGTGTATCTGTGCATCAGCTTGTGTATCTGTGCATCAGCTTGTGTATCTGTGCATCAGCTTGTGTATCTGTGCATCAGCTTGTGTATCTGTGCATCAGCTTGTGTATCTGTGCATCAGGTCCCCCCCCCTTCTCTTACTGCACCCCCCTCTCTCCTCTTTTCCCGCCCCCCTTCTCCTCCCCCCTCCTTCCACTTATACCTTCTCACATTGCCAATCTGCACACAGTAAGATCTAGGTGTGTTTGAATCCAACTCAAACCGAAACTCCTCCTGCCTCCACTCCGTTCCCTCCAACCACCTCCCTCCATCCCGCTCCACCCACCTCTCCCATCTCTCTCACCTTGCCGATCTGCACGCCGTACGATCTGCTGACGTGGATGGCGGGGCAGCTATCCCATTCGTTCACCACCACGGGCACGCTCCTGCACGGCGCTGACGTGTCATCCATTCGCAGAACGAAGCTCACGTCGTATATAAGCACGTTGTGCGCACCCTGTATCGACAGCACCGGCTGATCCGTTCTTATAACGAGTCGGATCGTGAAACCCCCCCATGGCACCCCCCCTGTTGCTGCTGCTGCTGCTGCTCCTCCTTCCGCTGCTGCTGCTGCTACTTCTGCCCTTGCTTCCGCCATCCCCGCTCCTCGTACCCTTTCCCCATCTACCTCCTCACTTATCTCCCAATAATCTCCCAACTCTGCTTCTCCTGCTGTGCCCGCTGCCTCTGCCCTTACTCCTGCTGCTGCTCCTGCTTCCGCCATCCCCTCTCCTCTCGCTCCTTCCCAGTCCGCCCCTTCATCTGATGCTCCTTCTTTCCAGAAATCAGCTGTCTCTGTTCCTGCTGTGCCTGCTGCCTCTGCCCTTCCTGCTGCTTCTGCTCCGCTTGCCACTCCACTTGCCACTCCCCTTGCCACTCCGCTTGTTGCACTGCTTGCTGTTCTCTGCCACAGCCCCACAAACCCCCCCCATGCGCCGTCCGCCCCACTGCTCCCCCCTTCCCCAGGCTTGGCGGATCTAAGAATAGTACAGGAATAGGAGGCGTTGAAAACTATACCGAAGGGGAGGTTCAAGGAGGCGTTTAATATAAGGAGGACCGTGGTGGAGGGTGGGTACTTGAGGCGCTTCGTTATCTCCCAGGGTCTGTTTATAAAGAGGATGGGCGCGGATTGCCAGGGGGTACAGGGGGACGGGGGGGCAGGGGGAGCGGGAGGGGGAGGGGGAGAGGGGGAGGAGGGACTGGGAGGGGGGGAGCGAGATGGGGGCGGGGAACGGGCAGGTGGGGGGGGAGGGGCTTTGGGGGGAGGGGGAGAGGGGGGGGTAGGGGTAGGGGTAGGGGATGGGGCAGGAGAGGGGCCGAGCAAGGGAGCCGGAGCAGGAGCAGGGGAGGGCGCAAGGGAGGGCGCAAGGGAGGGCGCGGGGGAATCAGCTGGGGCAGGGGAGGGGGAGTCAGCGGGAAGCGGAACGGGAGAAGGGGGAGGGCGGGGAGCAGGGGGGGTTGTGGGGGGAGGGGGCGGGGCAGCAGAGGGGGGTGTGGGAGGAGGGGGGCCGGGAGGAGGACGAGGCGGAGGGTTCGAAGGAGCGGGTGGGGGCGGGGTAGGGGGAGGGGGAGATGGGGAGGGAGGCGGCTGTGGGGCCGGGGGCTTAGGAGGGGGGGGAGGGGAGGGGGGAAGAGGAGGCGGGGGAGGGAAGCTAGATGGGGGCCGGGGTGGAGGGGGGCGGGGAGGGGGAGGTCTAGTGGGAGGGGGAGGTCGAGCGGGAGGAGGCGGAGGGGAAGGGTTAGGCAGGGGGGCGGGAGAAGGAGAGGGTGCGGGGGAAGAGGAGGGAGCAAGCAGCAGCAGCTGAGCAACGGTAGCTTGAAGACTACTCCACATGGTATCATCATTAGCAGCAGCAGCAGTGGCATCAGCAGCAGTAGCAACAGAAGCGCTGTTCGCCTCAGAGCTCCGGTGCGTGAAGAAGCTCCGCTCTGCTCTGCCCACTCCAATGCCCTCGCCTTTCGCCCCTCCGCTGTCCTCTGCACCGCCCGCTGCTCTCTTGGCTGCTGCTTTCCTCTCCTCCGCTCGAACCACCTCCAGGAAATGCACCGTGCCAGAGTGCTCCTGCGAATCCCCTAAAAACTCCATTCCGTGCGCTCCTTCTCCCCACTGCCTCCTGCTCGAATGGATCTGCTGCGAAGAGGTGGAGGAGGAGGAGGAAGAAGAAGAAGAGGTGGCGTCAGCGCCCGCAGCACCGGAAGAAGACTTTTGAGACGAGGCGTGAGGAGACGTATCAAAAGAGGCGGCGCGAGCGCTTGCAGCACCGGAAGAAGAAGAAGCAGTGGCAAAGCTATGAGGCGCTTCAGAAGAAGCAGCAGAAGCAGCAGCAGCAGCATGGGAAGCAGTAGCAGTTGGTTCCAGCAATGCGTGTACGTGAGCGTGCAGGCAATCGTCGCCATTGTCGCCGTCACCGTCACCGTCACCGTCACCACCACTACCAGTTCCCCCAAACAGTTTGCACTTTCGCCGTTGCTCAAAAGCAAGGCTTCCATGCGTCGTCTCAGCCTTACCCTCTCTATCCCCCCCCACACCTCCCTCCTCGCCTCCTCCCTTCAGCCCGCCATCCTCGTTCTCCCTTTCAGCCTCCACTACCGTACCTTGACTCTCTCCGACTATCTCTCCGATTATCTCACTCCCCCCCATCAAACTCGCGCTCTGGATATGCATACTGCCATATCCTTGTCCCTCCTCTCTCTGTGCCCCATGTCTCGGTCTTCTCTCCCCCCCTCCGCCCCCATCCCCATCCCCGCCGCCCCCCCTGCCCCTGCCCCCATCCGCATCCCCGCCATCAATGTTCCCGTCCCGGGTGCCTACGCTCGCCTCTCCTCCTCCCCCAACACTTTCCCCAATAGCCATTTCCCTCTCATGTGTCACCACACCATCCGCCCTTCCTTGCTCGAGCTCCTTCTCCCCCTCATCTCGCTTTCCCTCCCGCTTCCCTGGCTTCTCCTTCCCCGCCTCCGCCTCCGCCTCCGCCCCCTCCCCCGCCTCCTCGCCCGCCGACTCCGCCTCCGCCCCCGCCTCCGCGTCTTCCGCGCGTAGCCACGTGATGTGCCACTGTTGTCGGTGCAGCAGCGGCGCCACGGCACCTTGCTCCTCCGCCACCCTCTCTCTCGCTACCGCTGCACTCGAATCCCTCCGCTGCTGCTGCTGCTGCTCCTGCTGCTGCTCCTGCTGCTGTTTCCCAAGGTCTTGACCAGCATAACCACCACCAGCACCATCAGCACCAGCAGCAGAAGCAGCGGCAGCAGCAGCCTGTGCATCGGCGCCTGTTTCCCGCGGCATGACACACGGCGGCAGCAGCAGCAAGAGCAGCAGCAGCGCCACCGAACCGAGAGCTCCCAACGGAAACCTAACCGAACCAAAGCGAAGCGAACTGAACCGAAGCAACGGCGCCCGTGGCGGCATAGTAGCGATCGCGCGCCGAGCCACACTCCCCGTCACTGGTGCCATCGGGTAACTGCTTCGTGCGAGCCTATGGGACTCGGCTGGGTAGTGTAATAATAAACAATAAATATAACAACAGCTACAGTAATAGGGTACACTAAGAACCTAAGAGGAACCTCCAGCTGCCAGCACTAGGTGGTTTAGGTCAACTTAGTCAAGATTGTCGCGTATCAGTCAGAGTGTACATGTACACATTGGATGCTCTTACTGTACCGGATAATATTCATTGTGACCTTACTGAAGAGAACTTGCGAATAGGACCTTCGCTGCACCGCGCCGCGCGGCGAGTTTCGAGTCTCACACGCTTCTATTGTGGAAAAGAGAGACACGTGTCGAGCACATGCCACGTCTGATGAAAGGGCCCTTGGGGGAACGACATATTTACGAGGTCTCATGGGCGCTTGGAACGACACAGCCAGGACGCATGAAGGACCAGGGACACGACACGACACGGCACGACACGACACGTGCGTCGACCGGGCCTCGTCGCGTCGTCTTGTGCATTTCAATAGTACGACGCGGTTTTACAGGTTAGGGATATGGAGCAGTACAGTAGTGTGAGGCCGAAAGCTGTTTCCACATTCCCGCATATCGGAAGGGTGTCATTAAAGAAACTGGCAAACGCGCAAACTGACCCTCCTGTGAGTTGTATTGTTGTGAACGTGCATCTGTCAGTAGCGAGTAGGTACGTGTACGTGTAGTGTAAGTGGTTGGCTGTCATGTGTGTCAGCACGAGCAGTGCGGGGAAAGTGGAGGGAAGCAGAGCAGAGCAGAGAGCCCAGCACAGTGCGGCAGCGAACAGAGTACACCCTAATGCTCACTCAACCGCCCACTCTGAACACGCCCACTGCCACTCCATACGCCCAGTGGTCGACATTCACAGCCAACGGCCCGCGCGTTACTAGCCCACGACAAAACCAAGATATTCTTGACCTCGAATAAGTTATCCGAGTTTCCCAGACAAGACACGCTAGGCTACCCCAAATACAGTCCCATTCTCCCCATGGGGAGCGCGTGCTCGAGAGAGGAGCACAGGGAAAGATGGGGAAGGAGACTGAAATAGGCATCAGGTGTACAGCGTGATGCATAATGCAGAATGCAGAGTGCATGCAGCGTGATCCATAATGGCGTGTGCGAAGTAGTTTCGACGCACTTTAGACGGACGGCGACGTCAAGCATCCGACGTCGTGGTGACGTCGGATCTCGACGTCACCGTACGTCGAGATCATACTTTGAACACCTGCAGGCCGGCATTTGCCCTAAAAACTGTTCTAACCCGAAAACTGTACACGAGCCAGACAAGAATATGACTTTCCAGATTGTTCCGAATCTGCCAAACGGATTCGCCAGCTCCACACCTCCAAGCAACCCACGTACATGAATCTCTCAAGCCTAGAGAGGTTCCAGCAAAAAACATATTTGCAGGCCGCTGTTTTTCTGGTGCCCGTAAATTTGCCCCGGAACACTGTGCTCTGTAATTGCAGGGGACGTCAGCTAGCGTCAGCAAAATTTGAGGCGTACTTTGAACACCCGAAAGCACCCCTGAGCCCATCTACCCACCTCGACGTAGCTCGACGTCGGGCTACGTGCAGCACTTTGCACACGCCATATTCCAATTTCACTGCATGATGCATCCCCAAAAACGCGTGAATGTGGGAGAGAACAGCGGATTGAATGAGGTGGGCTGCGTGTATTCAGAGTGAGTTGCCGCACCGTGGCTCCAGAATAGAACACAAGCGTGGAGGGAGATTCGAGTGAAACGGGGCTGGAGATTCGAGAAGGACGTGGGTGTCGGTCAGGACTGAGGTGGTGTACTGATATGGTCGGCTGGTAACATGACGCGGTCTATATGGGTTAGGTTCGGTTTGGTCCTGTTGTCCGGTGCCCTTTTTTGTGCTCAAAAGACAGGACCCCAGATAATTGGTTTGGCAGGGAGAGATAAGTCGATGGTCAGTCCGATAATCCCGTTCCAGCAGGACATGTTACAGTACAAACTCTGTTCATATGGCTGTCTGCCAACGACGTCTGATCTGAATGGTTGGCGTGGTTGGTTGGAAAAGCTCTGCCCGCTGCAGGTTATTGGCCTGGGGTTCCCGATAAAAGAAGCTATTCTACATTCGGAACAAGGAAGCTACCATGTAGAAGTGAAAGCCAATTTGAATCTTTATATCCTACAAAGAAACCGAAAATTGCATTACTGTCAATATTAAACCATCGATATGCAGGTTTCTACCGGATCCTCTGTTCCTCGTCTCAACTGGGCACAACAGTCTATTCCGTGAGCCTTATACTATCCACAGTTAGTGCAGTTAGTGTCTCACATGTAGGGTGTGCTGGTTCCAAATTCCAGTATGCGTCCTGTTCCGCGTGCTTTTGAGGCCAGTGAGGATGCTGTACTCTCTTTCCAACTCCTGTCCTGCTGCTCTCTTCTCGACAATGCCTGCTGCCACCGATAAGTGTGAGTTCAGGCAATCACCAGGCTTTCATGGCACTTGCTCGTATGTGTCGAGAAGGGAACGTTCGCAGAAGACTCAGGCTCGCACACAGATGCAGAACAACCTGAGGCAGGAATGATTCAGCAGCTGGAGCAGCCGAGTTCGATGGTGGCTGGGTGGCATTGGCTGAAGCCTGGGCTGATCTCGGCTGTTGTTACATCAACTCATTGGCTGTTACAGCCACTCGCATCACCCTAAATCTGCAGCCTCCGTCTCCCGTACCCTTCCACTCTCCCACTTTTTCCTCCCCCATGCTTCTTTCTCGCCCTCCTGCTCGTTAGCTGCTGCTGCACTCACTGCTGCCGCTACCACCGCTGCCCTCGTTGCCTCCTCCTCCGCCAAACATATCGGGCAGCGACAATTAGCCGTGGCACTTACAGGAGAAAAGTACCCACTCGCTTCGTTCCTGAACATCCCCATCCCCACACCCCTACGGTCCTCCGCGTAACCCCAGCTACCCACTCGTCTTTCCCCCGCCTGACGCGTCGTCTCCTCACCCAGCAAGTAGTAAGTCCCCCCGGGGCGAAGCACGGTGGAAGGTTCCAGCGGGCTCTGGGGGCGCGACGGCGAGGAACACAATAGACGATGGCCCGGGAAATCCGCCAGCACGTCCGCCGCAAGAAGCGTAATAGTCTCCTTGGGCGACTTTATGGGGGCCTCGAAACCAGATTCCTTGCACGGCGCGTCGTCATCATCGTCCTCCTCCGCTCCGCCGCCGCTGCTGTCGCACGACGAGATGTCCGTTGCATCACTGGGCGAACCGAATCCAGCCGCATTTGCGCGCCGTCTCGGCGGAGATGAAGGTGATGCTGGTGATGCAGACTCGCAGTCCGCATTGGATGATTGTACGGACTCGGAGGATACGGTTGCGTCCACCAATCCTGGCAGAGACGGGACGGAGTAGATCCGCATAGTCCCGTCGTCTAGAAACACCATAACGGCTGACTCGTCGCCGCATTCCGCATCTGCGGCCTCCGCTTCCGCCGAATCCGCCGTCACCGCCGCAGGGACAGATGCGCGGCAACTGAAGAATCCCTCCGCCGGTCCTTTTGTTATGCCCCTCGCGGCACTTCCTCCGCGGCTGCTGCCGCTGCCGCTGCCGCTACTCCCGTGCCGCGGTCTCAGTAGCCCCACGACTCTCGCGGCCGCGGCGGCGGCGCGAGCGGCTGCCGCGCGTAGACGGCCGCTGCCATTGCCGCTGCCGCTGCCGCTGCTGCTGCTGCTGATGCCGAAGGCGGCGCCGGCGACGCCGCTGGCGGACATTGGCGCGTCGTTTCGGAGAGGCGCGCGAGACTCGCGTCGCAGGGATCCAGCTGACGACGACGGTGGCGGTGTCGTGGCCAGCATGACGACGATTATGACAATGGCGATAACGCTGTGCGAGACTCGGGTGGTAGTTCGCGGATTCAGTTTTGACGGCGTTGTCTGTAAGAGAGACGCTTTTATTCACTGGGAAAAAACTGAGCGAGGGTCGCGGTAGCAAAGTGCATTCTTCAAAGCGCACCTGGAATACCGCGGCTCGGGCTCGATCGTGTCCGCTAAGATCGGAAAAGCAGAGAACCATGAACTGAGGGCAATCAGCCTGAGGCTATGTGGCTTTCTTATTACGAGTGAACTTTTGGTTGCTGTGGTGGGAATTCGCCAGTAACAACGCGCAAGTTTACAGCCACAGGAAGATGTTCCTCGGGAGTCGAAGGCCGTTAGTAGCATTTAGTGCGACCAACCTTTGAAGCCGCGGGTCACAGGTCCCGTTAGGGAGAGTCTCGTCTCGTTGCGCAGCAACCACGGGTTGGCAACAACAGAGTCGTTGGAGCCTGGAGGAGCAAGCTTTGCTTGAATGTTTACGGCACGTCGTCGGGTTAGGTATCCTGTTGGCTCCTCCTGCGGTCCATGTTCTTCTGTTGCTCCCAAGTTCAATCAAACCCAACGGCTCCACGCGGCCTGTTGGCCTTGGATTCGCAGCTCCGACATTCCGAGGCGCGCATTGTTGTCCCTGGGATGTACGGATTTGGAGATGGACGTTCCAGATCTTGGGAGTGGAGGGAGGGTGATGTGTGCATCACGTGAATTCAGGTGCTCCATGACACCGCATTGCACCCACGGGCCACTCATGACACGATATTACCACTTTTTGGCACCACGAGACTGTTCATGGAATGAGTGACTTAAAGCCGCGGTGCAGATATCCGGGCTCCAGTTCAAACTATTATAGTTTGAAAGCCGCGTAACCCAGTATACACAGGAAAGCGAGCAGGGAGAGGTTTCTGCCAGCGGGGGAAGGGCGTGCGGAAAAGTCCTTCGAAGTATGATGTGTGTGGGGGGGAAACGGGGGAGGGCTCGGGGAAAAGCTCCGCTCAACGAGTTGAGGGGGAGCGCATGCAGCAAACTTGAAAATTCAAACTTGAACTGAAAACAACTCAAACTCGGCAAACTCTCACGCTTGAACTAGGTTCTTACTAACTTGAAGTGCGTTTTCCGAGCTACGCAGAGCCATTTCCGCTAAGATTTCTCGCGTTTCATGGTCTATTGATGTGCTCACGAATATCTGCGCAATTTCCTACCTCGTAAACACCTTTTTGTCGTATTCGAAGCGCATTGCGCTCGTTTTCCTCCGTTGCCGTCCTTATTCCTCTCCCGCCCCTCCATTCCTCACGTATCTGCGGTAGCAAAGGCGCAACGGTAGCGACAGGCAGGAATGGGTGCGACGGTGGCGAGCAGCGGGGCGACGATAGCGAGCGGTGCGGCGACGATAGCGAGCAGCGGGGCGACGATATGAGCAGCGGGGTGATGATAGCGAGCAGCAGGGCGACGATAGCGAGCTCCAGGGCGACGATAGCGAGCATCAAGGCGACGATAGCGACAACCAGGGCGACGATAGCGAGCTCCAGGGCGACGATAGCAAGCACCAGGGCGACGATAGCGAGCAGCGGGGCGAAGCATCTGTGCGACGGTGGCGAAGCATCTCGCGTCCCCCTCCATATTTATTCCTCTCCAATGCCTCCCCCTTTCCGATCCCTTGCCCGGTCCTCAGCATCAACTTCTCTTGGGCAGTGCCCTCCCTGTTTTCCTCTCCCTTTCCCCCTGTCCTCCTCTCCCTTTCCCCCTGTCCTCCTCTCCCTTTCCCCCTGTCCTCCTCTCCCTTTCCCCCTGTCCTCCTCTCCCTTTCCCCCTGTCCTCCTCTCCATTTCCCCCTGTCATCCTCTCCCTTTCCCCCTGTCCTCCTCTCCCTTTCCCCCAGTCCTCCTCTCTATTTCCCCCTGTCCTTCTCTCCCTTTCCCCCTGTCCTTCTCTCCCTTTCCCCCTGTCCTTCCCTCCCACCTTTCCCCCCCCTCTCTCACATCCCTTCCCTTTCCTACTGTCCTCTCCCACCATTCACGCTTCTCTCAGCCATCCCTTTCCCCCCTCCCCTGCCCCTCGCCTTCCCCCACTACCGTCCCTTCCCTTTCCACTACGTTCTCTCGTTCAATTCAGCCAACAGTACCAGCTTTGCTTGGCCACTGAAGGTTGTCTATCATATCTCAGTTTCCATGCTCTCTTCAATTTCCCTACCTAACATTCTTCAATAATGCGCAACGTTTCCTTCCCCTTTTCCCCTCCCCCCTCCTCCCTGTAAATGGACAGCTGCACCAATAGTGGATCGGAGTGTAAAAATCGGCTCTCCTTGGATTATGCCATGTTGTTTGCTTGCGATCCTTTGCATGATAAGGATTTCAATATGACATTCCAAGTCTTGCAGGTCTGTACAGTTGATGTTCTTTCTCCCCATTAGAAATAATACTCTTGCAAATGGATGGATAAATAAACCAAAATAAACCTTGTAAGTGAAATATGTATTTTGCAAAGTTTTTATGAAACATAAGGTTTATCGTTTTGCAATGTGGAGGTGTTATTGGCAGAACAATCAGCGAAAGGGAGTATGGGGGTGTTGATGTGGTCCCATTTCCCGTTTCGTGTGTGTTCCCCCCTTCCCTTCCCCCCACCCCTTCCCCCCCACTTTTCCTTTCGAGGTTCGCGACATTCGCCTTGGATGTTTTCATCGCAACACAACTTACACACTCGCTAGCCAATTGACTACCAGTACGGAACAAGACAAAACCCGGCATGTCACTGTTCCTAAGATAGTTGCACCGCGGCTTTAATGGCGGGCAGCAGCACTAGTTGGTTGCACAGCTTGGACTTCTGAAACCACGTCTCATTCTGACATTCAGAAGAAAAGGGGGATGTTGCCAGTGCTGGCGTTTATTGGTCGTGTTACAGTAAAAGATCGAACTGTATATTGTAAGGGCGTATCTTTGGTTCGGGTCATGCACTGTTTGGGTCATCCGAGATTCTTGGAAGACCAATCAGGCGCATTTTAGTGAAAATACTCGAATACCATTGGTCCTTCCATGACCCAAAGTGTACTGATGACCTAAAGTGGCCTTATGACCCGAACCAAAGATACGCCCTAAAGCATCAAGGGTTGCTAGCTTCGCGAGCAACTCGACTGAACCCACCGTTGTTGCCCCTTGAGGGACCCTCGTGTCTGAAATAAATGCTGAACTCGGTGCGGAAAGCCGCGTGCCAGGAATGGTTCAGATCGTTTTGGAACGGTGAACCTCGAAACCGGGTGCGCCGGGGCGTGCCGAGCTGTTCCGCGCCACATCCTTACAAGATTAAGGCCGACAAATAGAAAACAAACACCCCGAACACTCAATAAATATATTATACTCTTTATCCAAACTCTAAAGTGTCAAACCCACCAAAGGAAAGGGGTGCCAGTGTGGGACTGAGACATGCATCTTGTTAGATCAAGATTTACACCGTGTCAACACCCTAATCCTTGTCAAAGCCTGAATCTGATACGTGTCTGCTTGTTAGGGGACATGCTACGTACATGTTCTAAATCATCTAGTGTCGCACGGTCGCGCCTCATCCACACAATTTATACAAAGTAGGGGTTTGACATGTTGGGCTGAGAAAAGCCCTTAGGATCTTTGCAGGGGTGAACTCTGGGTAGGACTGATGTGATAGCGGAAGCGTTTTAATAAAGAGTTGTGAACCACCTTGCGCTAGTATGTGAGGGCAAAGTAGACTGATTAAAGTAAGGAGATACAAGACTATATAAGAGTACAAGGAATACGAAGAGATACAGTTATAACTACTTTTCTGTTGCTGTTGCGATTCGATACAGTGACGACTCGGGCAACTGCTCTGTAGCGAGTCAGTTGTGTGTCCTTGCTGTCGCGCTGTACTTGTCAGGTCAAAGGTCGCTGACCTTTGACTTTCGCGTAACCTCTAGCAACCGCTCAACCTCCGAGGGTTGACTCGCCGGTGCTTCAATATGCTTCGCTTTGCTTGTGCCTTGGTGTTTCGACACGACAGAGGCGCTTAGAATTAGTTGTTTCCATCACTCCCCTTTGCTTCTGGAGTGTCGCTGCTGATGACGTGGCTCTGTCCAGTCAGCAGCATGCAGTACTCGAACTTCTGTTTTCCGAGCTTCTTGGTCAAGTAATCAGCTGCCATCTCGGACGTGGGGCAGTATGACAGCTCGAGTCTCCCCTTCTCGATCTCGTCCTTCACGAATAAATATCGCAGGGCGATGTGTTTCGTCCTGTTTGCGAAGCCGTTCTTGTTGGCTATGCGAATGGCCGACTGGTTGTCGCAGAACAGGGTGAAGTTCGGTAACTGGGCTAGCTTGGCTTCCTCCAGTAGTTCGCGAAGGTACAGTCCTTCCTTGGTGGCTGAGCAGAGTGCGATATATTCTGCTTCAGCTGAGGAGAGAGCGATTAATTCCTGCTTGCTCGACTGCCAGGAGATAGGACCGATAGGCTCGAAGCGGTAGATGTAGCCGGTGCGGGAGCGCCTGTTGTCGGAGTCGCCGGCGTGATCGGCGTCGACGTAGCCGATTAGCCTAGGTGTCGTGGTCCCGTTCTTGTGATAGGTCAGGCCGATTGTTGGGGTGCTGACGAGGTAGTGGAGAGCGCGGTCGAGCTCCGCCATGTGTTCTGCTTCAGGTTTCTTGAGGTAGGTCGCGAGCTGACTTGCGGAGTATGACAGGTCCGGACGGCAAGTGACGGCTGCGAAGAGGAGACAACCCAACTTTCTCTGGTAGTCACGTATGCCGGCGAGCTTCAGTGGAGCGGATTCTTCCTTGCAGTTTCCTGCCGCGTAGCGATATGGCGTGGAGATGGTAGATGGTGTGAGAGCGAAGCGTTTGGCGATGGTGTCGGCGTACTTTGCGGCGCTAAGGTAGGTCGCGTCTTCTTCTTCCCGTATGTTGAGACCGAGGTATTGTGTGACGGTGGACGAGACTGTGAGCGTGAGGTCTTTCTGCAGCTCCCCTTCGAACCAAGTAGTGACGCCGTCGGTCGACCCGATGTAGAGCAGATCGTCTACGTAGACGATTAGTAGGATGTAGTCGGTGCCTTTTGTCAGCCGGTACATTCCCTGGTCGTGAGGTAGCTGGCGAAATCCTATGCGGATAAGTCTTGCGTGCAGGTACTGTTGCCACAGCCTCGGAGCTTGTTTGATGCCGTAGAGCAACTTCAGTAGTTGACAGACTTGGTTGGGTTCCCCGTTGGAGCCGTGCGGGAGCTCGACGAAGGTCTCAGCGTCAACAGGTGCGTAGAGAAATGCATTCGCGACGTCGATTTGCCGCAGCTTCTTTTTCTTCATGGCGGCGATCGCGAGAAGGATTCGAAGTGAGGTGTGTCGGCTGACCGGGGAGAATGTCTCGGTGAAGTCGCGTCCGTGTTCCTGGTCGAAGCCACGTACAACCCAGCGTGCTTTGAATTTGTCGATGGTGCCGTCTGCTTTTGTTTTCACTCGGAAGACCCACTTTCCGGTGAGAATCGTTTTGTTCCGTGCCACACTGATAGGGACGACTTTCCAGGTGTTGCGCTCCTCTAGTGCCTTTAATTCTCTGTCCATGGCTTCGCGCCATTTTTCCTTATGCTCCCCCCCCAGAGCCTGCTGAAATGTGGCAGGCTCCTTAGGAATGGCCGTGCCGTGGACTGCGGTGACGAGTCCGAGTATCTGGAGTCCACTCTGTGTGTAGCGGGGAAGTGACATGTCCGCGGGATAAACAGTTTCGTCTCCCGCTTCTGGATCAGGTGCGAAATTGGGTCCTACGCGTTCTGCTTCGTCGGTGTTGACTTGTGCAGGTGTAGCGTAACCGTTGTCAGCGAAATGGTAATAGGTTTCGGCGTTGATGCTTTCGCGTGGGTTTTCGTCGTCCATTGGCACGTCGACGGAGCAGTAGGGGAGGGGTCCGGCTTCTTCCGAGGCTCCTTCCACGTTCTGCTCGTCCCAGTCAGCTTCGTCGTCTGCCGAGGCGAAGGCTCGGGTGCCAAGAAAACCATCGGAGCGATCGGGGTTTCCTTCTTGCAAGTTGGCAAGGTAATACCGGAGGGTGAGGTTTTCGTAGAAGATGACATCACGTGCTGCTACTGTTTCCTTTGTCTCGACGTCGAAAATCTTCCATGCGTTGTAGTGTTTTTCGATGCCCAGGTGTAGTCCCCACTGTGCGCGTTGTGAGAATCGGCCAGCTCGTGCAGATGGAGGCCGGTACTGTACCATGCAGCCGAAGACTCTTAACATTTTTGTGCTGCCCAGTTTTCCTGTCCACAGCAGATGCGGTGATGCGTTGTTCGGGAGCGATGATGACGAGAGCAAGTTGTGCAGCATGACGGCGTGGTCCATTGCTTCGGGCCACTGGTGGTTGGGCAGGTGCATGCCACGTAGCAGCTTGCGCATGGTGTTCTGGAGGGTCCTGTTCATCCTTTCTGCTACACCCTGCTATTGATGGGCGTAGGGGAGAGAGATGAGTCGCTTGATTCCTCTCTCTGCCAAGTACTCTTTGAACCTTTGTGAGGTGTATTCTCCCCCTCCGTCTGACTGGAAGCTTTTGAATTTTACGCCCGATTCTCGTTCTGCTACTGGAAGCCAGGCGACGAAGGCTTCGAAGGCCATGTCCTTGCTTGGAAGATTTAGGTGCCAGACGTATCGAGTGGTTGCGTCGATGAAGGTGATGGTGTAATTGTACGCGTTTTGTCCAGGCTCGCGGTTGTACAGGATGTCGCTGTACACCTTCTCGAGTGGCACGTAAGCTGGTGCGCTTGGGTTGTGGTGAGACGCGAACGGTTGATGCGGTAAGTCAGCTTCGGGACAGGTGAAGCATGTTCCACGGGCTCGCTGAAGTTCTCTGCCGTCAGTTAGGAGTAGAGAGTCTTTGTCGAGCACGCCTGCTCTTATCGTGTTGTTTAACACCGTGTTGCTTGGGTGTCCCATTCTTACGTGCCAGGTTCCTTCGGTGGCACGATGTCCGGGTGAGCGCCGATACATATCGGAGTTGGAATAGAAGCTGGCGGTGAAGTTGGCGCTTCGATGAACTTCTCGTGGTGCTGGGTGCAGTTGCTACGCGGGTGTCGGTGGTGTGTCGTCGACGAAGATCGGTGCCGTTGAAGGACCAGCGATTGGTGTTGATGTTGCCGCTGTTGTCTCCGTTGTCTCTGCTGCTGCCGTTGTTGTCTCTGCTGCTACCGATGTTGTCTCTGCTGCTGCCGTTGTTGTCTCTGCTCCTACCGATGTTGTCTCTGCTGCTGCCGATGTTGTCTCTGCTGCTGCCGAATGTTGAATTGTCGCTAACGCTCTTGTTCTTTCTGCTTTAGGTATCGTGTGTGAATACCAGAAACCACCGGGGCTGAATTCTGGGTCAAGATCCGGTGGATGTGTCCAAGAGGTGAAGGTGACGATACCGTCGCTGTCGGCGGTTCCGAGGTCTGGAACGAAGTCGAGAACGAAGACATTGTTCTTCAAGACTGCTTTGCCGATGTAGAGACCTCCTCTCCCGTGATACAACTTGAACTCCTGGGTGGTGCTGTCTGCTTCGAGGTGAATGCCTTTTGCCATCAACTGGCTGACGTTTAGTAAGTTGTAGCCGAGTCCCTCCGCGATTAATACCTTTGACATCTATAGTATAACTTTTGTCTCTCTTGACTGAAGTTGAACCACGCCTTGTCGTCGTGTGCGCAGGTTCTGGTTGTTGGCGACGGTGATGACTACTTCGCGTTGGAGTTGGTACTCTTGCTGCACGAAGCGTCCTGAAGAGCACATTTGCTGTCCGCAGCAACTGTCCAAGAACCAGGTGTCTTTCCCGGATGGCTCGCTCTGGGCGATGGCTGCGTACGTTGGATTCGGTTGAAGTGACTCGCGGCGAGGTGTGATGTTGTCGAGTTGTTCTTCCGGTGAGTAGTGTGGCGGTGACTCAGTGATGCAGGAATCGGTCAATTTTGCCATGCAGCTGACGATGTTTCTTGCTCCTTGTGCAGATTGTGTTGTTGAAGGTTGCGACTGACTCGTGGGGTTCGCCTGCGTCGATGCCACTTGGCTGCTTGAGGGTCGAAGCTGCCGTTGCGGTGGAGTTGACTGTTGTCGATTCGGGCAATGTGTGCGTGGGTGCCCAACGTCTTGCAGATGTGGCAGAACGGAGGTACAGGCTTTGGTTGTTGTCGGTTGTTGTTGTTGTTGTTGTAGCGTCGCTGAGTGTGGAGGGCGAATTCCGGTGCTGATGCTTTCTTCTTGTGCCGTTCCTCTTGCAGGTCCATGTCTTGTTGCTCGGCGTGTATTTCGGCGCAGAGTGCTGCTTCGGAGATTCTTCCGTGAGCTCGGAGAATCGCTTTTGTGGCGCGCCATTGAGGACCGAGGCCGCCGATGATAACTGTTACGAAGGCGTCTTCAGATATCGACCCTCCGCATCGAAGGAGTTTGTCGTGCAACTCGCGACAGCGGCTGATATACGCTATTCCCTTTTCGCCTGGTTTCATTTCCACTGTTGTCAACTGCGCCATTAGCCGACTTTGATTAACGCTGTCTGTTGCTTGGTACAGGTTCTTCAAGTGGCTGTATGCGAGTTCGGCGGAGTTGCCGTATCCCCGGTAAGATCGTATATTCTGCTGCTGGTTCGGGGTGATGTTCCTCAGTAGAATCGTATACGCCAACATTGACTGATAGGTGTACTGCTGTTTCTCGTACTGTGTGCCGTTTGTTGGGTATGGCAGGGATCCGTCGAAGAAGCGAAGAATCTGCGCGCCTTCCATCATTAACTCGAACTCGAACGACCAGGTGAAGAAGTCCTTTCCGTCGAAAGGCCTTGACGTCTGAAGTTTTAAAACGTGCGCGAACTGTGACTGAACTTGAAGTGCGTGTGAAGAAATGAGAATGAATGAGAGAAGTGATGGTTGCACTAGCAAGCAGTTGAGTACATATAGCAAACCCTAAATTGGGCTGTACTCACTATTGAGTACCCCACTGCAGGCTAGACAAACATAACATTCTGACACACCCCCATAGTCAAAGTGGGGTATGATCAGCACAACAAGCAAAGCAAAGCAAGCTCAGGGTGGATCACAATGTCCCCACACATTCTGAGCACAAGTACAAGAAGCAACAGTTTAAAGTTCACAAATGTAAGCAAAGCTAGAGACTATCGCAGAGGGCACGTGTGGAGGAGGAGGGACTATGAGAGGAGAGGAGGTAGTGGGCGGCAACTGAAGCTGCTGGCACACGGCGCAACTGGAGCAACTGGCACACGGGCAACTGGAGCAACTGGCACACTGGCAACTGGAGCAACTGGCACACGGGCTACTGGAGTAACTGGCTCCGCGACTAACTCTGAGCTGCAGGAGCAACGGACTCACGGGCGACTGGAGCAACGGGCTCACGTGCGACTGGCGCAACGGGCTCACGGGCGACTGGCGCAACGGTCTCACGGGCGACTGGAGTTGCAGGCTTCACGGCAGCCACCCCCTTCAACCTCCCCAAAACTATCCCACCCCCCTTTTCACACACCCCTTGCTGTTCCCTAGGTTCACTCACACCCCACCCCCTAGCACCACGCCTTTGGCTCCCACACATCCACCCCCCTCAGCGGCAGCTGCAGCAGTGGGAGACAAAGGAGGAGGAGGGGAAGGGAAACATACCACCCATCACCCCCATACCCGCCACCCCCATACCCTCCATTCTACGGCTGCACGCGCAGCAGGGAGACAAAGAAGGGGGGGGGGGGGGGGGGGGGGGGGGGGAGAGCAGCAACGGGCAGCAACGGGCGGCAATGGGCAGCACAGGGAGGCGGCGGCACCGGGTCCAGGGGCGGCGTCGCGGGGTCCAGGGGCGGCTGCTCCAGGGGCCAGGGGCGGCTGCTCCAGGGGCCAGGGGCGGCTGCTCCAGGGGCCAGAGGCGGCTGCACCAGGGGCGGCTGCTCCGACGCACGGCCCCCCCCAGGTCGCCCCTCCCGTCGCCTGTTGAGGCGACCTGAGGGGGGGGGGGGGGGGGGGGGAGGAGTACGGGGGCCGACGCGCGGCCTCCCAGGGCGCCAGAGCAGGCGGAAGAAGGGGCGACGCGCGCCCCCCCAGGTCGCCCCCCGCGCCCCCCCCCCCCCCCCCGCTCGCCACGCAAGGCGACGGGAAAAGGGGGGGGGGGGGCGGTGCACGGGCCCCTGGTGCGCCACGACAGGCATGAGGAGGGCGGGGCCTGGGCAGGGTCGGGGCATGGCAGGGGCAGGGCCGCGATAGGGCCGAGACAGGGTCGGGGCAGGGCCGCGACAGGTCCGGGACAGGGGCGACGTCGGGCGACGGGGCCGATACGGGGGGCCGCGACGGGGGGCCGCGACGATGGGCCGCGACGGGGGGCCGCGACGAGGGGCCGCGACAGGGCCTTACGGGGGGCCGCGAAGGGCCTTACGAGGGGCCGCGAAGGGCCGTACGAGGGGCCGCGAAGGGCCGTACGAGGGGCCGCGAAGGGCCTGACGAGGGGCCGCGAGGGGGGCCTAACGAGGGGCCGCGAAGGGGCCTTACGCTTGAACTAGGTTCTTACTAACTTGAAGTGCGTTTTCCGAGCTACGCAGAGCCATTTCCGCTAAGATTTCTCGCGTTTCATGGTCTATTGATGTGCTCACGAATATCTGCGCAATTTCCTACCTCGTAAACACCTTTTTGTCGTATTCGAAGCGCATTGCGCTCGTTTTCCTCCGTTGCCGTCCTTATTCCTCTCCCGCCCCTCCATTCCTCACGTATCTGCGGTAGCAAAGGCGCAACGGTAGCGACAGGCAGGAATGGGTGCGACGGTGGCGAGCAGTGGGGCGACGATAGCGAGCGGTGCGGCGACGATAGCGAGCAGCGGGGCGACGATATGAGCAGCGGGGTGACGATAGCGAGCAGCAGGGCGACGATAGCGAGCACCAGGGCGACGATAGCGAGCTCCAGGGCGACGATAGCGAGCATCAAGGCGACGATAGCGACAACCAGGGCGACGATAGCGAGCTCCAGGGCGACGATAGCAAGCACCAGGGCGACGATAGCGAGCAGCGGGGCGAAGCATCTGTGCGACGGTGGCGAAGCATCTCGCGTCCCCCTCCATATTTATTCCTCTCCAATGCCTCCCCCTTTCCGATCCCTTGCCCGGTCCTCAGCATCAACTTCTCTTGGGCAGTGCCCTCCCTGTTTTCCTCTCCCTTTCCCCCTGTCCTCCTCTCCCTTTCCCCCTGTCCTCCTCTCCCTTTCCCCCTGTCCTCCTCTCCCTTTCCCCCTGTCCTCCTCTCCCTTTCCCCCTGTCCTCCTCTCCCTTTCCCCCTGTCCTCCTCTCCCTTTCCCCCTGTCCTCCTCTCCCTTTCCCCCTGTCCTCCTCTCCCTTTCCCCCTGTCCTCCTCTCCATTTCCCCCTGTCCTCCTCTCCCTTTCCCCCTGTCCTCCTCTCCCTTTCCCCCTGTCCTCCTCTCCCTTTCCCCCTGTCCTCCTCTCCCTTTCCCCCTGTCCTTCTCTCCCTTTCCCCCTGTCCTCTCCATTTCCCCCTGTCCTCCTCTCCATTTCCCCCTGTCCTTCTCTCCCTTTCCCCCTGTCCTCCTCTCCCTTTCCCCCTGTCCTTCTCTCCCTTTCCCCCTGTCCTCCTCTCCCTTTCCCCCTGTCCTTCTCTCCCTTTCCCCCTGTCCTCCTCTCCATTTCCCCCTGTCCTCCTCTCCCTTACCCCCTGTCCTCCTCTCCATTTCCCTCTGTCCTCCTCTCCCTTTCCCCCTGTCCTCCTCTCCCTTTCCCCCTGTCCTCCTCTCCCTTTCCCCCTATCCTCCTCTCCCTTTCCCCCTGTCCTCCTCTCCCTTTCCCCCTGTCCTCCTCTCCATTTCCCCCTGTCCTCCTCTCCATTTCCCCCTGTCATCCTCTCCCTTTCCCCCTGTCCTCCTCTCCCTTTCCCCCAGTCCTCTCTATTTCCCCCTGTCCTTCTCTCCCTTTCCCCCTGTCCTTCTCTCCCTTTCCCCCTGTCCTTCCCTCCCACCTTTCCCCCCCCTCTCTCACATCCCTTCCCTTTCCTACTGTCCTCTCCCACCATTCACGCTTCTCTCAGCCATCCCTTTCCCCCCTCCCCTGCCCCTCGCCTTCCCCCACTACCGTCCCTTCCCTTTCCACTACGTTCTCTCGTTCAATTCAGCCAACAGTACCAGCTTTGCTTGGCCACTGAAGGCTGTCTATCATATCTCAGTTTCCATGCTCTCTTCAATTTCCCTACCTAACATTCTTCAATAATGCGCAACCTTTCCTTCCCCTTTTCCCCTCCCCCCTCCTCCCTGTAAATGGACAGCTGCACCAATAGTGGATCGGAGTGTAAAAATCGGCTCTCCTTGGATTATGCCATGTTGTTTGCTTGCGATCCTTTGCATGATAAGGATTTCAATATGACATTCCAAGTCTTGCAGGTCTGTACAGTTGATGTTCTTTCTCCCCATTAGAAATAATACTCTTGCAAATGGATGGATAAATAAACCAAAATAAACCTTGTAAGTGAAATATGTATTTTGCAAAGTTTTTATGAAACATAAGGTTTATCGTTTTGCAATGTGGAGGTGTTATTGGCAGAACAATCAGCGAAAGGGAGTATGGGGGTGTTGATGTGGTCCCATTTCCCGTTTCATGTGTGTTCCCCCCTTCCCTTCCCCCCACCCCTTCCCCCCCACTTTTCCTTTCGAGGTTCGCGACATTCGCCTTGGATGTTTTCATCGCAACACAACTTACACACTCGCTAGCCAATTGACTACCAGTACGGAACAAGACAAAACCCGGCATGTCACTGTTCCTAAGATAGTTGCACCGCGGCTTTAATGGCGGGCAGCAGCACTAGTTGGTTGCACAGCTTGGACTTCTGAAACCACGTCTCATTCTGACATTCAGAAGAAAAGGGGGATGTTGCCAGTGCTGGCGTTTATTGGTCGTGTTACAGTAAAAGATCGAACTGTATATTGTAAGGGCGTATCTTTGGTTCGGGTCATGCACTGTTTGGGTCATCCGAGATTCTTGGAAGACCAATCAGGCGCATTTTAGTGAAAATACTCGAATACCATTGGTCCTTCCATGACCCAAAGTGTACTGATGACCTAAAGTGGCCTTATGACCCGAACCAAAGATACGCCCTAAAGCATCAAGGGTTGCTAGCTTCGCGAGCAACTCGACTGAACCCACCGTTGTTGCCCCTTGAGGGACCCTCGTGTCTGAAATAAATGCTGAACTCGGTGCGGAAAGCCGCGTGCCAGGAATGGTTCAGATCGTTTTGGAACGGTGAACCTCGAAACCGGGTGCGCCGGGGCGTGCCGAGCTATTCCGCGCCACATCCTTACAAGATTAAGGCCGACAAATAGAAAACAAACACCCCGAACACTCAATAAATATATTATACTCTTTATCCAAACTCTAAAGTGTCAAACCCACCAAAGGAAAGGGGTGCCAGTGTGGGACTGAGACATGCATCTTGTTAGATCAAGATTTACACCGTGTCAACACCCTAATCCTTGTCAAAGCCTGAATCTGATACGTGTCTGCTTGTTAGGGGACATGCTACGTACATGTTCTAAATCATCTAGTGTCGCACGGTCGCGCCTCATCCACACAATTTATACAAAGTAGGGGTTTGACATGTTGGGCTGAGAAAAGCCCTTAGGATCTTTGCAGGGGTGAACTCTGGGTAGGACTGATGTAATAGCGGAAGCGTTTTAATAAAGAGTTGTGAACCACCTTGCGCTAGTATGTGAGGGCAAAGTAGACTGATGAAAGTAAGGAGATACAAGACTATATAAGAGTACAAGGAATACGAAGAGATACAGTTATAACTACTTTTCTGTTGCTGTTGCGATTCGATACAGTGACGACTCGGGCAACTGCTCTGTAGCGAGTCAATTGTGTGTCCTTGCTGTCGCGCTGTACTTGTCAGGTCAAAGGTCGCTGACCTTTTACTTTCGCGTAACCTCTAGCAACCGCTCAACCTCCGAGGGTTGACTCGCCGGTGCTTCAATATGCTTCGCTTTGCTTGTGCCTTGGTGTTTCGACACGACAGAGGCGCTTAGAATTAGTTGTTTCCAACACTCCCCTTCGAGACTGTGAGCGTGACGGTGGACGAGACTGTGAGCGTGAGGTCTTTCTGCAGCTCCCCTTCGAACCAAGTAGTGACGCCGTCGGTCGACCCGATGTAGAGCAGATCGTCTACGTAGATGATTAGTAGGATGTAGTCGGTGCCTTTTGTCAGCCGGTACATTCCCTGGTCGTGAGGTAGCTGGCGAAATCCTATGCGGATAAGTCTTGCGTGCAGGTACTGTTGCCACAGCCTCGGAGCTTGTTTGATGCCGTAGAGCGACTTCAGTAGTTGACAGACTTGGTTGGGTTCCCCGTTGGAGCCGTGCGGGAGCTCGACGAAGGTCTCAGCGTCAACAGGTGCGTAGAGAAATGCATTCGCGACGTCGATTTGCCGCAGCTTCTTTTTCTTCATGGCGGCGATCGCGAGAAGGATTCGAAGTGAGGTGTGTCGGCTGACCGGGGAGAATGTCTCGGTGAAGTCGCGTCCGTGTTCCTGGTCGAAGCCACGTACAACCCAGCGTGCTTTGAATTTGTCGATGGTGCCGTCTGCTTTTGTTTTCACTCGGAAGACCCACTTTCCGGTGAGAATCGTTTTGTTCCGTGCCACACTGATAGGGACGACTTTCCAGGTGTTGCGCTCCTCTAGTGCCTTTAATTCTCTGTCCATGGCTTCGCGCCATTTTTCCTTATGCTCCCCCCCCAGAGCCTGCTGAACTGTGGCAGGCTCCTTAGGAATGGCCGTGCCGTGGACTGCGGTGACGAGTCCGAGTATCTGGAGTCCACTCTGTGTGTAGCGGGGAAGTGACATGTCCGCGGGATAAACAGTTTCGTCTCCCGCTTCTGGATCAGGTGCGAAATTGGGTCCTACGCGTTCTGCTTCGTCGGTGTTGACTTGTGCAGGTGTAGCGTAACCGTTGTCAGCGAAATGGTAATAGGTTTCGGCGTTGATGCTTTCGCGTGGGTTTTCGTCGTCCATTGGCACGTCGACGGAGCAGTAGGGGAGGGGTCCGGCTTCTTCCGAGGCTCCTTCCACGTTCTGCTCGTCCCAGTCAGCTTCGTCGTCTGCCGAGGCGAAGGCTCGGGTGCCAAGAAAACCATCGGAGCGATCGGGGTTTCCTTCTTGCAAGTTGGCAAGGTAATACCGGAGGGTGAGGTTTTCGTAGAAGATGACATCACGTGCTGCTACTGTTTCCTTTGTCTCGACGTCGAAAATCTTCCATGCGTTGTAGTGTTTTTCGATGCCCAGGTGTAGTCCCCACTGTGCGTGTTGTGAGAATCGGCCAGCTCGTGCAGATGGAGGCCGGTACTGTACCATGCAGCCGAAGACTCTTAACATTTTTGTGCTGCCCAGTTTTCCTGTCCACAGCAGATGCGGTGATGCGTTGTTCGGGAGCGATGATGACGAGAGCAAGTTGTGCAGCATGACGGCGTGGTCCATTGCTTCGGGCCACTGGTGGTTGGGCAGGTGCATGCCACGTAGCAGCTTGCGCATGGTGTTCTGGAGGGTCCTGTTCATCCTTTCTGCTACACCCTGCTATTGATGGGCATAGGGGAGAGAGATGAGTCGCTTGATTCCTCTCTCTGCCAAGTACTCTTTGAACCTTTGTGAGGTGTATTCTCCCCCTCCGTCTGACTGGAAGCTTTTGAATTTTACGCCCGATTCTCGTTCTGCTACTGGAAGCCAGGCGACGAAGGCTTCGAAGGCCATGTCCTTGCTTGGAAGATTTAGGTGCCAGACGTATCGAGTGGTTGCGTCGATGAAGGTGATGGTGTAATTGTACGCGTTTTGTCCAGGCTCGCGGTTGTACAGGATGTCGCTGTACACCTTCTCGAGTGGCACGTAAGCTGGTGCGCTTGGGTTGTGGTGAGACGCGAACGGTTGATGCGGTAAGTCAGCTTCGGGACAGGTGAAGCATGTTCCACGGGCTCGCTGAAGTTCTCTGCCGTCAGTTAGGAGTAGAGAGTCTTTGTCGAGCACGCCTGCTCTTATCGTGTTGTTTAACACCGTGTTGCTTGGGTGTCCCATTCTTACGTGCCAGGTTCCTTCGGTGGCACGATGTCCGGGTGAGCGCCGATACATATCGGAGTTGGAATAGAAGCTGGCGGTGAAGTTGGCGCTTCGATGAACTTCTCGTGGTGCTGGGTGCAGTTGCTACGCGGGTGTCGGTGGTGTGTCGTCGACGAAGATCGGTGCCGTTGAAGGACCAGCGATTGGTGTTGATGTTGCCGCTGTTGTCTCCGTTGTCTCTGCTGCTGCCGTTGTTGTCTCTGCTGCTACCGATGTTGTCTCTGCTGCTGCCGTTGTTGTCTCTGCTCCTACCGATGTTGTCTCTGCTGCTGCCGATGTTGTCTCTGCTGCTGCCGAATGTTGAATTGTCGCTAACGCTCTTGTTCTTTCTGCTTTAGGTATCGTGTGTGAATACCAGAAACCACCGGGGCTGAATTCTGGGTCAAGATCCGGTGGATGTGTCCAAGAGGTGAAGGTGACGATACCGTCGCTGTCGGCGGTTCCGAGGTCTGGAACGAAGTCGAGAACGAAGAAATTGTTCTTCAAGACTGCTTTGCCGATGTAGAGACCTCCTCTCCCGTGGTACAACTTGAACTCCTGGGTGGTGCTGTCTGCTTCGAGGTGAATGCCTTTTGCCATCAACTGGCTGACGTTTAGTAAGTTGTAGCCGAGTCCCTCCGCGATTAATACCTTTGACATCTATAGTATAACGTTTGTCTCTCTTGACTGAAGTTGAACCACGCCTTGTCGTCGTGTGCGCAGGTTCTGGTTGTTGGCGACGGTGATGACTACTTCGCGTTGGAGTTGGTACTCTTGCTGCACGAAGCGTCCTGAAGAGCACATTTGCTGTCCGCAGCAACTGTCCAAGAACCAGGTGTCTTTCCCGGATGGCTCGCTCTGGGCGATGGCTGCGTACGTTGGATTCGGTTGAAGTGACTCGCGGCGAGGTGTGATGTTGTCGAGTTGTTCTTCCGGTGAGTAGTGTGGCGGTGACTCGGTGATGCAGGAATCGGTCAATTTTGCCATGCAGCTGACGATGTTTCTTGCTCCTTGTGCAGATTGTGTTGTTGAAGGTTGCGACTGACTCGTGGGGTTCGCCTGCGTCGATGCCA